TTCCAAATATTGCTTATGGAGTAGAAAAACCTGGCTGGGGCAGAGTACAAAGAGTGGAGAATGGATTGAGTGGCACAGAAATCCTTCCCTGTAGGGTGGAAGTGCCCATCCCTGGCAGTGCCCAAGGCCAGGCTGGACATTGGGACACCCTGGGACAGTGGAAGATGTCCCTGCCATGGCTTTAAGGTCCTTTCCATCCCAAACCATCCTGTGATYCTGTGATTCCATGACTTCATCCCCACAGCGAGGATCTGTCATCAGAGCTCCTCTTTGCTTTAAATTCTTCTTTCATTACACAGACCTACAACAACGCAACTGACGTGGGATTATGCCAAACTCCAYCACTTCAAGATAATTATTTTTGCCTGTCTATATGTACCACCCTTTATTGAGCATGAATAACTGTTTTTTCAAGTGTTGTAGCTGAACAATGTAAAAACCATCATTGAGAGACAGGGGAGACACTGAGTGCTGTCAGCTCTGATATCCTGGTGCACAGACTCCTCTGTTTGGGTTACAAGAGTTCTTCTGGAGATCTCTATTTTTCTAGAATTATTTCCTTTCTATGAGCTGCAATAGGCAAGAKGCATCAATTCCACTTAATAACCATAATTTTAAAATGCCTTGYTCTGTCACAGCAGCAGTCTGGGGTGAAGGGTTTCTTCTCCTGCTCGAGTGTTTCCTGGCTCAAAGAGCATCTCTGGTTACCTGGTCCTTGTGGGRCGTTTTGGGGCATCTCAAATGAGACTGCTTTAAATTTAAGGATCAGAAATAGCAGCAGAGCTGTCGATAACCCAGGCTGACCTGAGCTGGGGGTGTAAGCACAGAGCAGGGCCGGGCACCATCCCCTTGTCCTGCCAGGATGTGTCTCGTCCTGGTTTCACATCCGAGCACACTGGCCTGCTCTGCAAATTGCTCCCTGTGCCGGGGATTACGTGGAATTAAAAGGATTTAAAGCGCAAGATGTCCTAAGATAAATATCTCCCAAGTTCAGCCAAGCTGGCTGTTGCGTAACTGAACACACTTGTTTTCCAGGATCCCTCTTTTAAGGAAACTCGCCCAGCAGGTGCTCAGGAGGGTTTTGTGTCACCTCTGGGGTGGAGAGGTCAGTGGTGCAGAGATGTCCTGGTTGTGCTCCACGTGCCCATCAGATTAGCTCTGTAATCCCCATTCCTGCTCACCCCGGAGCAGGGCAGGGCAAGGACGGGCTGTGGGGTCACTGAGGCTCCTGTGGCCACCTCCTGAGTAGCCCAAAGCTGCTGTGACACAGCCTGGGTGGGCTCCTCGGTGCCCTGGTGCTCAGTGAGGAGCTGCTCTGCAGCAGACATTGCCTGGTTACTGCTCACGGGGGATTTTGGGGGGTTTGGTCAGAGCAGRACCTTTGGGGGCACCTGAGGGGCAGGGGCAGGGCAGACACAAAGCACTTCAAACGGGCAAATATCAAACCAAAAAACCCACAGAACTATTTCAGCTCTGCTCACACTGTGCTGAACGACCACATTTCATCCACATTTTATCCACATTTCATCTCATCCACATTTCATCCACATCTCATCCACATTTTATCCACATTTCATCCAAATCTCATCCACATTTTATCCACATCTCATCCACATCTCATCCTCATTTCATCCTCATTTCATCCCGGGAGGTGATGGGTCTGGAGCTCTGTGTTTCCATCTGGAACATTTACAAACAGCTCTCCAATTCCATATGAGGGAATGAGGACTGCCTTTGCTCTGGGGTGGARGGAAAGCGCTTGGCTCGAAACGCTGCAGTTCCCTGCTCACAAATCTGATTTACATCAGCCTGAGAAGTGATGGTTTTATCAGGAGTTTCATCCCTCTAGGACCTGCCTGCCCAGGAAACCCCCCTGGCATGGGCACAGCTCTCCTTTCCCTATTCTCCATCCCAGGAAACCTCCCTGGTGTGGGCACAGTTCTCCTTTCCCTATTTTCCATCCCAGGAAACCTCCCTGGCATGGGCACAGTTCTCCTTTCCCCATTCTCCATCCCAGGAAACCTCCCTGGCACGGGCACAGTTCTCCTTTCCCTATTCTCCATCCCAGGCAGGAAAGATTTGTGTAGGAAAATCTTCCTCGGAGCAGGGATAAAACTCAACCCTCAAAACTCTCCAGACCACACGCACCAGGCACTCCTTCCCCCTGTCCAACATGGAAATTCTGCTTTTTGAGCTGTTTGAGACCAAACCAGAGCTGTGGTTCGGATGAGCAGCAGTTTTGAGCTGTGCATGGGTGACAGCTGAGCCCATGAACATCAGGCTGTTTCTTCCCAAGTGTGG